AGAAGCAGTAAAAGTACCGACGATGGTACAGGAGCTCCACTTGACTGTGCCTCTGCCCGACGCTGACGTAGGTCTAAACAAAGATCGAGACGTAACATGGCCGAATCAAGTTACGGAAGAGGTATCATTGCCTTATCAAATAAAGGGGCAACTGCCGACCTCCCAAAAATTAGCATTCTTCCATATTGCCTCCTTTAGCCCTCAGTTGGCTCCTAACGGTGGGGAAACCGGCCTCCTTTAATGCGAATGCCCAGGTACTTTCTGATAAACTGGCCGAACTGAAAGATCGCCAAGCTTCCGAGTCACATGACATCATCGATATCACCGAGACGTGATCGCACACGGAAATGACGGACGCTGAGGCCACGCTGCCGGGCATGTCGCTCATCCGGAACGGTAGAGTTACAAAAGAAAAAGAAGGGGTAATTAGGTATTACTGAAGTGGTTTAGAGTGCGAAACCGTGAAGGATTCAGGCTCGAGGTTCCCCGACTCTTTCTGGTTCCGCTTGCAGTTAAAAAGCAGAGCACCTTGCCTTTTTGTCTTGGTGTACTACCCCCTACTTCTACACCCGAAACCGATTGTCACCTTGCGTCTGCTTTAATATGCAATCTTAAGCGAAAATACACTCACATCCTTATCGTGAGTGATTTGAATGTACATGGTTTAGAAACCCCTGCTAAGATCGAAAAACAGTTCAAAGCCGATCTATAAGAACTTTTAACCACTGGTTTTCGTTACAATCACATCACTTGGCCTACTCAGTTCAAAACCGGTAACAGGCTATCTGTGCCGGATTTTGTGCTTATTAACAAAGAGCATATGATTGGTGTATTTGCTCTAAACTGCCCATTGGGTCGCAGTGATCATGCAGTTACCAGTTTCAACCGCTTGCTATGCGGAATATGGGAATGAGAACAACAGGACTGTGCAAACGATCACAAACTACGATCAATTATCCCAACTCGTCAACGCCACAATTTGATCGTTCCTTGAGGAAGAAGCCCCGGAAGTCACCTGGCTCGAGTTCGTCAACAAATTCAGTCGGCTGATTGCAGAAGCTTCAGAGATAAGCGTATGCGAACAATGTACCTCAGTTTCTTTCGTTAGGAGCAGAACTCCAACATGGATGACAGTACGCTTCGTAGCATGGCGAGTGTACAGCGAAGCTCCAGCACTAGAAACTTGGAACAACCACGCAGCCCAACGTAATCACTGCACTCAAGTGCTAAGAGCAGACAAAGCCGCCTATCAGCAAAACACCGCAAAAAGCTGCAATGCTAACCACAAACTGCTGTACAAGCACGTCAGTAGCCTAAGAAAGGTGAGGCAAGGATTTCCTCCACTCAGGACGGCTGATGGCCCAACAAGAACGGCTGTGGAAGCAGCGAATGCACTGCGGATGCAATATACCCTCACGTTTCAAAGTGACTTGCCACTGGGGGATCTTCCAGCCCTTGGCGTCTGTCCGCCAGGACTAATTCACATCGTTTTTACCGCGGAGGATACATTACAAAAGCCGACGTCTCTACGCAAACACGGCTGACCAGATGTCAATACTATTCGTCCAACAGCGCTGGAAGCAGTAGCAAGCCTACTGGCTGGGTCATATCACACTTTCCAACGCTGCTTAGAGCAGAACCAAGTTCCTGTTATGTGGAAGCTTGGACTAATAACCCCGATTCACCATCGTGGAAGCATAACTCAGCCCACTCCCTACTGCCCAGTATCCCTTCTTCCTATGCTCTCCAAGGTCATAGAATCCAATGTTGCCGATGCACTGGTGTGTTAGCTGGAAAACTGCAACAGGATCACGCCCGAGCAGCACGGCTTCCGTCAACAGTGGTCAAGCACGACGAATTTACCAATTGTACGCGGTAGTTGAACCAAGTGAGCTGACGCTGGAGAAGGCGTTGATCCGATCTACCTGGATTTTGCAAAGTTCTTCAATCGTCTAGACCATCGGCTAATACTTGCTAAGCTACAGCAGTTCGGGATGGGTGACCCTCTTCTAACCTGGATTGCCAGCTTGCTACTTCAACGGCAATTAGTGATCAGAGTTCGGAGCTCTTTATCGGACACCGCAAAACTCGAGTGTGATGTGCCGCAAGGCTCAGTTCTAGGTCCAAGTTTGTTTTTCGTGTTTATTAATGATCCTGCACAAGGAATCGCTTCAAACTTCCTAATGTTTGCCGATGATATTAAGATCTTTCGCAGCATTCATGTGAATGCCGATCATGGAGAGAGTAGCGCAATAGTCAACACAAGATTTACTGCGTTTCAATCTCAGTAAATACAATGTACTTTCCATCCGGCACCAGAGCAGCTCCATATTTTGATATATGCCCAGTGCGTATGTTCACGACATGTTGAATACGCAATTCAAGCCTGGCATCCATAGCTGAAACACGACCTTAATGCACTGGAGCAGTCTCAACATCGGGCGCCTAGGAAGGTAATTGGAATATCCAATGTTTCATACGAGGAGAGGTTGCAATGATTGGGGTTATTCAGCGGACGGTATGACAGACTAAGAGGAGACCTGCTTATGACATACTTGATTCTGCATGACCCACATCCTATGTGACGCCTTTTACTGCGACTCAGCACCAATACAACCCTGAGGGGCCACTCATTGAAACTCTTCGAACAATATAGCCGTCTGAAGTGCCGCAGCAGTTTCCTTTTTATTCGTGTCTGTTACCCATTAAATGCACTCCCAGAATCAGTTGTCTCTGCATCGGCCCTAACAGTATCCAAAAGACGATTGGAAGACGTACTCATTCACTTACACTTTGTCACGTGGCGCTACGTCTCCATCCTACTCCTGAAGTTTAACATGGATTCATTTGTTGTCAACTGGGGGTGCTGTGAATCTAAGCGGATTGCAGGATTACGGCGGAGCAAACGATAAGTCCTTATTTTCATACCTAAGGTACTCAATGTTTTACTACTACTATTATTATTATTATTATTATTATTATTATTATTACCATGATGATCATTTCGATATCCCCATCAACTTCCAACGGGACTTGTAAGACAACGCTTCTTAACCCGTATAAATTCATCGTTCAACGTTCCGTGGATTCAGAAATTGGCCCACTGGCCCTGCAAGGGATCATATTCATGCCTATAATGATGTGTCTCTTAAAGTCGTGAACAAAACTTTATTTCTTGATTTATTGTAAAGTTACGTATCATGTTTTAGTTCATACAATGAAATAATGGTTGAGGGTGCCTATAGTAAGCGATCCGAAACAAGCACTTTGCTTACAGAGAGCACTGAAATGGCGGTGGACAACTAATCCAATTATTCAGCAGCAAATCTTCTCAGTCATGCAAGGAAACTAATGGCGAAGGCTAAAACCCACCGGTACACTTCCAATGACAGGTCGTATTTTCGTTAGGATCGTGCCACAGTGAATAGCAAGCATAAAAACGCTATATGCAATGTTACTTTTGTTGAGTCAATGCAGCTAGTCGGAGTAGTTACACATTCTGGATTGGTTCCTTTTGCTAACATAAAGGCGGGTGAAAAAACCGAATCCCGATGGCCTCGGGTATCGTAAGCGTTTGAAGATGAAGGCCTTTGGGAGAGAAAGGTTGAGTCTTGTGCACTATTCCGAAAACATAATTTAGGTTTATTTGATGCTTGTTGTCTACAATATCTGCCTAAACGAAGCTGATGATGGATTCCGTTCCACCTTGATTTAATGGGCTTGGGTAATAATAACGTAGTGTCCAGACATGTTACGTATCATCCCATCCATATACACTCTGCGATGGCTGCAACTGAACTGACAGCAAAACTATAGGAAAGGTCGGTAACAGCAAAATACCATTTATTCTTGGGTGAAAGTGTGGAGCTGATGGAAACTTACGCTAAAGCGCGGTTGCTGGGAGAAATATCTCAGATGTGATCGAAAAATCTCCAACTGAAAGTCTGATGGCTAGGCTTAATTTGAAGGGCATGGTTACGGGTAGCCTCCTCCTCCATAGTTATACTGCATTTCAAACATAAACCAGTTCCTACCTTCGTTGAGTTTATTATCAGCACACAAGATTCAACTCATCAGCATGCAAAGTTAAAGCGTGGAACAAAAATTTCAAAGGAGAAAATAATGTACAAACTTGTTTGACATGATATTTCCCGTATTAGTCAGCCGAATACAAACGACGATATTGGTATACCTGCAGCTGAGCTAAGAGGATGAGCAGTGACAAATGAGCTTTCAATTACATCTTGGTGGCTAACTCACCTTGCTAAGCTGAATGCAGCTAGGCTGAATCGCTTTATCCAAAACGAATGTAAATTGAATATAAATTCATATTAACCCAACGTTTGGTAAAGATCCCGTATCTAGAGTACTTCGATTCGGGCGCATTTAGTTATATTGCTCCAGTTTCCTTTCAGCAAGAAGACGAGTATAATAGCGACCTCGTTTCTGCCCATGGCTGCCTCTGACATGATACCATAGGTTTTAGACCATAATTGTTTGCTCATGAATAAGGGATTTATATGCAATTAATTGAGAGTTTGTTGAAGCTGGTCGAGACTGCTAACTAGTGTCTTTTCGGGCACGTGCAAACTGCTGCGGCGACTGTCAAATTGTTGTACGTCATTTGTTTTGCTTACCACACAATCGATTTTTAAATCGTACAAATATATATATATATATATATATATATATCGCTTCACTTTCTACACATGTGGGTGATAATTTCATTCCATCCATGTGAAGCTGGGATTCAGCCGAGCCAAATATCCGGGAATGCACGTTAGCTGGCCCTGCTGGTGATGGATGGGCTGCCCTCTTATGTAAATCTTTATCAGTGGTTTACCACCAATCGTTGACGACGACCGTACTTCAAGTACTCAATCTTTATGGCTAAGTGTCCATAACACATGCCTACACAAAACAGCTTAGTGTCATTTTAATATCACTTTACGGAAGTGTGATGACTTCATTCCAAATGCCAAATGCAACGAAAAACTTACGGTGGCACGCTTCCGCCAGCTGCGACATTCTGTCCAACAGAGGAGAACTGCGGAACAAGCCTGTCAGCCATCTGATCATGTCCGAATGTACATTTAGTGGACCAGTTTTTGGCTGTACCTGCAAGTGCGTCGTTCCATTTCTTTAAAAGTTAAAGGTATGCTTATTACCTACCAGCATCGGCATTTCGCCCTTCACTGGGGGCTGACCAGGTACTTTGCATAACAACAGGTTACCACGTAGGTCATTGTGCAGCTTTAATAGGTACGACTTTTGTTCCTCCGTAATTTGGCCTGACACGAAAGATTCTTGTGTATATAATAACAATACCAAACAGATATGAACGCAGCTGAGTGCCATAATGACTGTAGGTTCACAAAGCAAAAGCAGTAACATTTGGTGATGATGGAGACGACATATTTATACACGAGCGGAAGCCGCCTTGGAGAGTGTATCGACGTGGGCACGTGACAAGTGCACGGTGTGTTAAATGTGGTGACGAGCATCTTACGACATGAGAAGGAGGGGTACTCATTTCGTTGCAGAGCACTTTAAGCGAAACGCGGGTGTACCGATGCAAGACACCACTTATTGTAAAGCGATAACATTTAAATAAACAAATAAATGGTTTATTGTCGACATTATGAGGCACACCTGTAAAGATATGATCGTGGTAATAAAGATAAATAGTAAAAAGACAAAATAGCTTACACTTTAACCAGCAAAACAATAGATTCATGTGTGAACGTATATATATTCAGGTGTGGGTGTAACTAGCAATGCGTCTCCCGCTGAGGTTGATGTTGCATACATCATGCATCTTTACTGAAGTTGGGCTAGACGGACTTGCAGTTAAACTAGATCTTAACCCGAAGAAAAAGCATTCCACTACATTTGATTTGCCCAGTTTTGTTATATTCTGCGTATTTCCTGTCAGCCTTGTATGCTTATTTTCCTTCAAATTCTATGTTGATTGTTTGCTATCCCCTGTGTGGCAGCACTTGATGTGAATGTTGACATGTTACCTACCTGTCTTTTACTCTCCGCTTGTAAATCGTTGCTGGGGAACGGCGTGCACGGTCATCGTGACAGCGCTGAGCTCAAAAGGTGATTCCATGCACTTTTGTGGAGCGGACTACGGTCAAGCCACCGCCTTGTGTACGTCCGGTACGCATGGTGTCCTAGATAGTCGTGAATGCGTCTGCTCAGCTTGTTGAATGTGGTCAGGCTCCTTTGGTGAAACGTGGCTCCCATCCACATGCCTCCCAGTCTTATTCCTTGGGGGTTACCTTGGATATGGGGTGTGTGTATGGAAGTGTGCGTGATGCAGCGCAAGCCACCCCCCGGTCCCTATGTAGACAAAGGCGTCCTGTGGTTGTCCCACTAAAGGTCACATCGACCATCAAATCCGAACACAAATATCGCCAATCCATGTGTAAGTTGTCACGTTGAGTGGATTTGTTTACATGACTGGGGATTTGTGATTTTGTAAGATGGGCTCGCCAACGTAGGAAAATATCAGAAGAAATCTTGGCATTGGAGGACTTTCATGAAACGCTCAGCATCCTCCGGAAAGGCAGGAAGCAGTGATTTTATTAACTGGCGAGTCACGTCCGCCAAGTCACAGTGTTGTTAAGCAGATATTTGTGGCTTTTTTATTATAGGGAGAATCCTTACCAGGTGGAAACCCAACACATCCTGGAACACTGCCGCCCAACCATCACGTAGAACGCCACTAACCAGAACCACCTAGCTGGCACCACCAGCTAACCAGCTTTCAGCAGAATCACCACTGCGATTATCAAGGGTCCGAAGAGCTCTCCTTTTGATCATTCGTGAAATTCCCCGCAGACAACCAGTAAGACATCGTAACACGAAAGTTGTATGGAAAGATCAACAAAGGAATGATGAGTTCGATAGCGCCTACCCTACTTTTGAAATGGACACGGTAGAGGTACAAATGCGAATAACTACAACATGTTTTGCGGCATCTTAACAGGTCTTTGCCTCCTATTAGGCAGATGAAGTATTCTAAAGGTTTATGCATTTGCACGAACGAAGAGAACCATCATATGGAAGGAACTGGAAATAGCGATCTACGCGCTCACTATCTTGAGCTTACTGAGACACAAACGGCGTAACGGACAGTTATATGAAATGCTGATTAAACTTAAATAGAAAGGATTTTCCTTTTCACATACTCAGTGGCTATAATTGGGTTTTTTCAGTGAAAACAATTTGAGACTGCTTAGAATAAGTGTCGTAATAGAAACCTAAAGTTCACCTAATATAGACCGTTTGTGATACGGTCATTTGTGTAGTATTAAACAAGGCTTATGATAAGTTGAATATAAAGAAGTTAGGAACGACCAAGCTTTGGAAATAAGTCCCAATACCAACGAAAAAGGGGCACTACGCTTCGGACAACGGAATTGGCAAATATGCCCTGTATAATATGGTTATGCATATACGAAACAGTTAAACGCGTCTAGAATGGGGAGAATATACCGCGCGAAATAAAAGTCAGTTTAACCATCCATAGTAAATTTCAACGTTAGTCTGCGGTGGTCACAGTCATATGAAAGCTTAGGTAAGAAGTCATGCAAAGTGAACGAATTCTCTAGTAGTAAACGATCGTTCAGCTTGCTGATGGGCCTGTTTCCATGTACAGGAGTCTGGTCATCCTTCTGTTTGATACTATGCAAGACAAGTGAGAACCGAGGCGGAACCCTGACTTCTCAATTTATAGTCCGGCACTTGTACTCGTTTGCAACTCATCACTGGTTAATACAGATGGCGACGGAGAATGGAGAGTGAAGAAATAGAGGAAGGGAAATGGATGGTAGTACTGATTTGTTCAAGCCATCGAAGCGATCAATTTTGTCTCAAACACATAGACACTTTAGCGACCGGAGTTAAACCCTATGGAGGTGGAACCTCCAAGGTGCCGATGTATGCTTATCCATCACGACCTACTCCGTTATTCCACCACTGTAAATGTTTAAACCAGAAACAGGCTGTTTTGGCGGTACGATCAAGAATGGGAACCGCATCAGCACTTAGAAAATAGTAATGGAGGGTGAAAAAGTGCGGATATGAATTCAATAGGAAGGTATACAGTAATGATTCTGGATAAGCGACATAGGAAGGTATGTGTTACAATCTTCCACACGTAATTGAGATAAAAATTGCTGAGTAATCTTGAATAGACGGTTATGGCGAAGATCAGATTATTTGTTCTGAGTGCACACATGTCTTAGCATCAACGAGACCATTTGTATAGATCGTTCACTACTTCTTGACTAAACATTGAACCGGTATTTACGAAATGTATCAGGTGCTTGACTGGCATTCGGAATTAAAGAAGGTTTCGCTCACATTGAATTTTCTAAAAGAAATGGACTTTTCTTAAACCGTTGACTTTGTCACATTCACAGTAAACAGAATTCTGAAACACTACTTAATACCAGGATGTGAAACTCAATCGGATGAGGAAACGATTGGAAATGTAGTGAAGTAGCTAAACTCCGCAAGGCTATATATGTTCCAAATTCATCTGTGATAGATCGTCGCTGATATAATTAAAATTGCTTTATAAGCGATATCTGTGGCCCCATGTCAAGTTTTCAGTTTTTGTACACTGAGCACCTTTTTAAATGCCTCTAACGTGAAGTTCCTCGGAATAATGCTTTTGCATATGCACAGGACGATTTTCCCGGCAGTCTCTTTTAGATGACGTACTCTAGATAACTATGAGCAGTAGAACATTACACTGCGAATCCTGGAAAATGCTTGAATCATAAAAATGCTTGTTTTCTTAAAGATGACTTAACCAGGAGACTTGTTGCGAGGCTGTTACAAGGCGTTTAATTTGTCAGTGAACAAGCGTACGTTCCGATATATGATAGGTTCTCAAAGAGGACAAGTCGGACTTAATGTGTGGTGGCTCTATATGGTAAACAAACCACGATCGCACTAAAAAGAGCCGAGTTGGTGCGCTAACAGGCAGGGCTTTATGCTCCAAAAACGAAGTCATAACGACGGATAAAGTGGAAAATTACAGTGATAATTGTGTAGTACCTGGTAGGCGAATTACCAAGTCCAAACAAAAATCATGATTCCTGTAACCGCTTTGCTGGGAGTGGATTCCACAGCAATACAGCGGCGAGTGCAGAAAAGCCATCGCAATGAGGCTGGACCTTACCGCAGTGCGATGGTTTGTGTGCCACAGCGATCCATTGAGCTATGCTGGGTGGTGCTTTTGCACCTTCAGACTCACTCATACCAGATTGGTCAATGGTTAGAGGCAGACGATCTCAGCCTCCTGGTCCTCCAGGTTGGGGATTGAAATGAGGGGGGCACCTTATTCCTTAAAACGGACTCCTTGTAGCCCAACGCCAAACCCGCTGCCTTGCGGTCAGTTTTTTGAACCAAACGCTTTGGTTGAGAACCCTAATCGTTCTCCTGTATAGGCCTAGGCAACCTGACAGTATCCTGCCCACGCAATACTATGAATTTTCCTTCAAACAATTTCTTGATCCTCTGACAACCGCAGAGGATAATCAACGGTGCCCTATCTGCTGCATCGAGCAGGGTGAATTGGGGTTTGGTTGCTACTGCTCAAGCCTTCCCGTCTTCTTATTCCCCCTCTTACGCTTTTTCACTCTTACCGTCCCATTCCAACTTCACTTATATCCCCCCAGTTTTCAACCCCCCGATTCCTGGCCCTCCCCCAACATGCTTTGCTAGGCATCTATCTTCTAATTTCAACTCACACGTGAACGCGGAGCGTCACTCCTCTCCTGTCGACAAGCCCATGTCCAACCAAGCGGTCCAATCCAGTTCATCGGCTTCCATTTAGAGCCCTCGATCCTCCTTCAGATTGGCATGCCTCAATGTACGCACACTGCTACAAATCGGTCAACAGGCAGCACTTGCCCGAACATTGGAGACCCTCTCGATCGAAATCTGCTGCTTATCAGAGACCCGCCTGCAAGACTCGAGCACTGTGCTCACTCTGCGATCCTTTTCAGGAAACGCAAGCAGTATTTTCTCCTTGCGCCTATCCGGTGACGATGCAGATTCGAGCACCGGCCAAGCTGGTGTTGGCATTGCCCTGAGTCCCCGGGCTGAAGCTGCTCTGGTTGATTGGATTCCAATCAGTAGCCGGATGTGTGCGGTCCGATTGGCTGGCTCGTTCAAAGCTTCGAAGTCGAGCGGGACTAACAGGTGTCTATTCGTTATCGCTGTCTATGCACCAACCAACTGTAGCGATGACTTAATAAAAGACGACTTCTATCGTCAACTGAACGAGCTCCTTAGCCACAGAAGAAGCACGGACACCGTTGTGCTGGCTGGGGATCTGAACGCACAAGTTGGAAA